ATTTGCAAAATTTTCCAAGTCTCAGGATCTGAAGATTTCAGTTGTTTCATAAAAGAATCAGCAAATTTGCACAGAGTGATCTCCAGGACTTAAAATCCAAAGCCTTCTCAAAAAATCCATAAGAATTTTGCAGATTTTCAACTTAGGAATTAACATCCATACGTTTTAGGGTCTCCTTAACAAAAGAACTTAAAAGATGAGTTTTCTCGTAAAAGAACAAAGAGATTTGTAAAGTTTCCAAGTCTCAAAATCTAAAAATTTCAAAGATATCTTATAAATAAATCAGAAAATTCTCAGATTGATTGAAAATAATGGCAAGAAATTGGTATGCTTGTCACACTTTTTTTCTCCTCTAATAATTAGAGAATTACTTCTATACTTGGAAAATATATTCAAGAAAAGAAGGTCTTCAGTGAGTTTTATAATTTGGTTAAAAAAAACTGAAGTTATTGAAATTTCTTTCTCTTATGAGATTTTTTACTTTCAAAATTTCTCTTTTTTATGAGGGTATGATGGGTTTTGCTACCTTTAAGTTACATTATTCCATATTTTTTTCAAATTTTTCACTGGAAAATTCTAATTTCTATGAAGGTTTTCCTCAAATTTTTTATAAGGAATCTCAAATCATACTGGATTTTGGAGCTAATAAAAACTGGCTCTAAAATGTCAAGTAAACTTGCTCGAAAAATATTCACAGTAAATATAAAAATGTGTGAAGCAACTTCCAAAAAGTTTCCATATATTCAAAAATGCCAAAAAAAAAAAATGGCTTCAAAATGGAGTTTCAAAGTTACTTTCAAAAGAATCTAAATACATTTACAAAAACTTGATTGACGACAGTGGCTTGCAAAAGTTTTAAAAAAATTCTCAAAAAGTTGCAAAACTTAAAAATAAAATGCAAATTCTCTAAACACCCTGTATAAAACTCTACTATCAACTTATCCAATAATTCATTAACACCCTGTAAGTATATAAAGAAATCGCGATCTTTTTTAAAAAAAATAAAAAATCACCAAAAAAATATTTGTTGTTTTTTTTTGTTTATCTTCCGCAAATTTTTTTCCGGAAAATTTTACCGGGGCACGAGATTGCGACGCTAGGGTTCGTGCGTGCGTGCGTTAGAGAGCGTCGGCGTCGACTGGCGTCGCACGGGCGTCCAGACGCCGCTGGCAGGTTTCAGGGGGGCACATCTAGACGCGAAGACGCGACCACCCTTTTTCACCTCAGAGATCGCGGTTTTATCTGGATTTTTTTTATGAGATATAAATATCTTATCTATATTTTGTTTATAAAATGATGGTAATTAAATGGGGAGAAAACATTTTTATTTTAGCTTAAATAGGAATGTCAATAATAATTGTTTTTTGCTTCCAGTTATACAGGGTGTCCAAAATACCATGGGCCACCATTGGTATATCAGAAACGGTAAGAAATACGAGGGCGGTTAAATTAGAAAAAAATTGTCATTTTCAAAGGGTATTTAAAATATATTTTCGTTGTTGCCAAATTTTTATTAGTTTCCGAGATACAGGGTGATTTGTGAAAAACACCTAAAACTATTTTGTCGAATATTTCGAAAACTATTAATTTTAGAGACAATTTTTGAATTTGAAAGTTCCATGATTTGTTTTGCTCTACAATATGGTGTTTTGTAATGGTAAATCCGACGTTATTTCTTCAGGATACCATAATCAACTTAATTTTTTTGAATACGGACCTGGATTTTTTATTTCATACCTATTTTGAAAGGAAATTTAATTTGCAATCTTACTATGTGTCATACATGTATATCTTCCAACGTTTCAGTAAAAAATTCCCGCATCAAGCATATTTATTTTAAATTTACCCAGAGTTTTTTGCTAGTTTTGCATCAATAATGAATTTGAGAATAGTTTTCATACAGTTCAATAGCATTTTTAACATTACGAAATGCTCTTGCATAAATGAATAACATATCGGTCTTTTCTTCATTCGAGAACTTTATTTTGATATTTAAATGACTCGAATAATTGATAAATGAATAAAATAAATGAATTAATCTGACACTGACAATAAGCGCTGGACCGTAACGAGCGTAAATTGAAAAAAAAAATGCTTGATGATGTTCTTTTAACCGAAACGTTGGAAAATATACATGTATGATACATGGTAAGATTGCAAATTAGATTTCCTTTCAAAATATGAAATAAAAAATCCAGGTCCGTATTTAAAAAAATTAAGTTGATGATGGTATCCTGAAGACGAAACGTCGAATTTAACATTACAAAACACCATATTGTAGAGCAAAAAAAATCATGAAACTTTCAAATTTAAAAAATGTCTCTAAAATTAATAGTTTTCGAAATATTCGACAAAATAGTTTTAGCTGTTGTTCACAAATCATCCTGTATCTCGGAAACTAATAAAAATTTGGCAATAACGAAAATATATTTTAAATACCCTTTAAAAATGGCAACTTTTTTCTAATTTAACCGCCCTCGTATCTCTTACCGTTTCTGATATACCAATGGTGGCCCATGGTATTTTGGACACCCTGTATAGGTACGTTTCTGCAGAAATCACAAACCAGTCAAAGTGAATTTCATTGGTTCAAACTAGTTTTCTGACTGTTTTCAACCAATGAAATTCGCTCTGACTGGTTTTTGATTTCTGCAGAAACGGACCTATAATAACCGGATAACCGGATTTTATACCTAATAACCGGTGAAAGTGAAACGTTAGAAGTGCCCATCAGCCCATCTCTAGTATTTCATTTCAGTTTCGGTTAATTCGTTCAGCAGCTGGTTGTTTTCCATCTTTCCCTAATGAACATGTATTATACAGGGTGTCTAAGCAGATTCGATGGTTTTGGCGGGTTTCGGTTATTTCTAGAGGAGTTGGAACAAATCTGACCCCTACTTGCCTCAATTTTCAAGAGAAGTTGACCGGTGAAACCCGCATTTCGATTTCTTGTTTCGTTTTTAAGCTGCAAGGGGAAAAGTTGACAAAACCCTCATAAATAAAAAAGTTATAGACCCGCTGCTAAACTGCAAACTCCTCGACATATCAAGATGAGGTTTCCACCAGCCAATTTCTCTTGAAAATTGAGGCTTGCAAGTGGAGGTCAGATCTTTTCCAACTCCTTTAGAAGTACCCAAAACCATCGAATCTTGGACACCCTGTATAATGTAGCTTAAGGTACATGTTTAAAGTGACAGAAGAGAAATAATTAGTTTAGAGAAAAGTATAGGTATTTTTTGATACTTTTTCTTAACATGTAATGGTTCCCGATTTTTTTTTACAATAAATAGTATATTATATACCTTGGTAGAGAAGTTAGTCATTTATATACCGAGAGCACTGAGCGCCGAGGTTTATAATGCGTAAGGTATATAATGACTTTCTTTACCGAAGAATATATAGAATTTTTTTTACTACCTGCTAATAGAAATTGAAAAATAGGTTTGAAATCTGTGCTCAAATTATTTTTTCTTGTCGAAAGTGGTGTCCTCTATCTATCTATCTATCAACAGCTCAAACCAATAGAAACCTGGTACGTCATGACTGTATCCTTGAGTCATGACGTCATTTTCATTATTGACCTAGGTTTTTTTTCCATTATTTTCTATTAACCTTCAATTTTTTCCTAGAAAAATAGATTGAATAATGAATGACTACTTCTCAGGTTAGTAAAAAAAATACGTTGTTATTCAATTTATGCTACATTATAGAATAAGTTATGCAATTATTACTCTGATAAAATTCGGAAAAATAACCGAACAACCAGTTAATCGGAATAACCGGTGTTTTATATCAATTATAACCGGGCAGTTAAAACTGTTACCTACTAAATTAACCGGTTAATGGAAAAACTATTAATGTTTTAATAAAAATTGACATCCCTAAGCTTAAATGATGATATTTTTGGCCATCATTAAATAGCCCTAAGTTTATGGTGCGGAATTTCGCAATATGGGTGCTGGATTTCTGGAGAAATACCGCTGGCGGAAAAACTTTAACCAGTTTTTATCTCGTTTTTTTCTTACCATATACCTAGGCACTGGCGTAGCCAGGGGGGGGGCAAGGGGGCATTTGCCCCCCCAAGACCCTTAAATTTTATGAATATTTCTTCAATATTAAGATAAACAGTCCCAAAAATAGCGTAGAGAAACCTGAAAAAGGGGCGTGGCACCCAAAAATTTCGCGCCTGCGGCGCTTTGCCTCCGGCAGTGGTCGCGGTAGGGCCGCAAGAGACGCTTCCTGCAAATTTGCCCCCCCCAAGACAAAATCCTGGCTACGCCACTGTACCTAGGTATTTTTATCGGGACTTTTCGGGAAAAACTATTCAAGAGCCGCTACAGTGAATTCCCGCACTGTAAATTCCCGCCAACGTTAACGCCATCTCGCGGCTATTTGATTGTAGCTCTATTGATCAAATTATTGCGAAATAATTTGGAGGCCTATTTTATCCGAAAATTATGTTATTTCTGATGCATATTATCGTAAATCAGGCCCCAAATGGAGCCAAATAAAATTATTTCAAGGTATTTTTGGGGCTTATGGAGGCACTGCATGTAAATCCACCTACAGTGACTCTATTAAACCTCTTATAACAGTGGCGACAATGGTACTGTGTAGGTTGATGGTAAAACTGTTGCTGTCCTTTTCTATTTGCTTGTATTAAACAAAGAGGCAGCTAATCGGTTTGCTCGCTGCGCAATAAACAACGTAGGAGTCCAATTCCTCCTTTTCGTGTTTACAAGCTAATTTTTATTTCCTTCTTTCCGTATCCCGTCAAAAGCATTACAAAATTGAAAATCCTTAAAATAAAGTTTTTTTCCGCAAACGTCAAAAAATGACGACTTTTTTAACCTCAATTCTTAATGTTGAAGTTTGACTTCACAGACGTCATTTTTTTTGTTACTTTTTTGTCCGCGCGTTCCGTGAGTGTACAAAATAGTATATTGTGTATTTAGGTGGAAAAGTGACACATTCTCGGCCGACGGTGTAAGTTGACGGGCCGGCAAACACCGAAGGCCGAGAATGTGCTTTTCCACCGAAATGCACATACTATTTTTTCTGCGATCGGTTAAATACCTGTTAAATGTTTGTCTTTTGGTTCCAAATATTCAGCAGTACGAGAATCACTTTCCCGGCCTAGGCCGGAAAAGTGTTTTCTGTATTGTTATTAATTGATTTCTTAGCAACTATTGAAACATAATTGAAATACCAGAATATTGAGTTTTGCGACCTGTAAACCAATCAAAAATGCTGACATTTCTTGTCAATCGCAGAAAAAAGTACTTTTTTGTACGCTCACGGCCGGACAAAAAAGTGACGTCACAGAAATTTCCTAGATTCCATTGCTTTGAACACCGTTTGCAGAAAAAATCGCATGTTTTATTCGGAGAAAAGAACTTTTTGTGGCTCGTCTAAAATTGTCGTCCTCACTACGTTCGGCCGTCAAACATTTAGTCTCGCCACAAAAAGTATCACTTTTACTCCTAAAAAAACAATATACTATTTTTTCTAAGATAACAGTCAAAATGACATTATGTTGGCAATACAATGTAAAATTGCCAATGCTGTCATATTTTTTTTGTAGAAAAGGCTTGTGTTGCCAACATTTTAAAAGAAAACAGACTTTACTTTTAGTTGTAGACTCTAGGGCTCTTTTTCTCGAAACAGGGGAGCAGCGTTCTCATGAGAACAAAGGTCTATCTTAGTCGCTCATATTTATATTTCCATAACACTGACAAAAACAGAGCAATCGTTCTCGTGAGAACGCTGGTCCCACGTTTCGAGAATAGACACCCAGTACACATAAAACAATGGATTCTCACAGATTTCAAACTATTTTTCCATTCAATATTTACTCACCCCAACACAAAGTTTTTAAATTTCAACAAAATTGAGGCGCCAACTGGAAATACGCACAGATTAATGTTCAACATACAAAAGTTCCTCTTTAATAAGGAATAATAACTACCAGAATCCAATTAATAAATTAAAAAATCACAAAATAACCGCAATATTCTCATGAGAACAATGGAAACAAGGAACGTTTTTGCAACAAGATGGCGGCACTGTAAATCCACCTAAACTGTGGCGCCATCTCGTAGCAATTGAGTATGGCTGTATTAGTAGAATTATTTGAAAATCTTTTGGAGGCTTATTTTGTCCCAAAATTACGTTAATTTTGATGCATTTTAACGTAATCAGGCCTTAACTGAAGCTAAATAAGTTATTTATTCGATTTTGAATATTTTTGGGATTTATTTAAATCCCCTGAAACCATATCCTGGATAATTTTTTTTTCTGGCCATTTGGCAACAGGGCGGATATCATCATCAACACAATTAAAAAAAAAAAAAAATGATGATGACGATGATGAGGTAACTGTATATTTTTGAAAAGTAGTTATTTTTAGGTTCCTACTCTCTAGGGTTTGAGGTTGTGAGATGGCCGAAAACGACAACGCGAAAAAACCCCATTATCCAAGACGAAACGCACCCCAAAGACCCTTACCGGGGGTCCAAAAGGCCATCAACAACTTTGGGGTTTCGGATTTGAGGCAGCTTTTGGACCAGAAACATAAGGAAGAAAAGGTCAGTGAGAAGTGAAAACAAATTTGCCTTCCTGTAACTTTATTTTAATTTTTAAGCCAATTGACCCCAAAAATATCCCACCACCAGACCCCTCTTACAACTACCTAAGAGACCCTGCTAGAGATAAGCCCAGAGCTTCACAACCCCACAAATCGAAGCCTAAGAACCAAGAAAATAGCAATAAAACAAAAGAAATTATTGCACCTGAGAATGAAAATGCAAAAATTACTAATTTCAGAGGTCGTTATCCTAGAAGAGGAAACCTCAATTTGTCCAGAGATAATCAAACAACAAATGAGTCTAATTTTAGAGGTGGCAGTTCTAGAAGAGGCAGGGGCAATGGTAGACCTAAAACTAAAGACAATCCAGAAACTATTATTGACCTGATTAATATTAAAATAGAAGTCAGCAGTGAAACTGGCCATAGAAGCTGTATTTTGGATGAAGAAACGAAAATTGCTGACATTAAACACGTACCAGATCATCAGTTTTCTTCTCCTAGACGTGGAAGAGGTTTTTTTAGAGGTAGAGGCCGTGGTAGGGGCTTTTACAGAGGTAGAGCTGGATTTAATAATAATAAAAATATTAATCAAGATTCAGCAACTGAAGAAGAAATTTTTGAAGAAGCTCAAGGCAATGAAAATAAATTGTCTTCTGAATACAATGAGGATTCAGAAGCTCAATTTGATTCAAATTTAGCTGAAACTATAACTGTTACTTCATCAAAGTTGCCAGACAGCGAAATAGAAAGATTAGTTGAAGTTACATTGGAAAATAATACTAATGAATGAATGTGATTTTATTTTGTGATATACATATTCTGCTTTTATTTAACACAAATATTTTACTTTAATATATAAAATATAATTATTATATAAACAATTTTTTGTTATAGTGATGTGTGTATTTTATAATTTTATTGTATTGTTTTTTTATTTATTAACCAAAAATTAAATAAAATATTGATTTTTTTTCTCAAAGCTGTTTCCTCTGTGTAGTTTTAAAATACCCCTGTAACTAGGGTTGCCAGATTGGAATATCGCCAAATCGGGTATACCAATCAAAAAGCTGTTAAAAAATCGGGACACTTTTTTTTTTAAAGGAATACCTAATTAAATATAAAGGAAATAAAATGTAACCAAACAATAAAACTTCCAACACAATTCAAAAATAAAAGATAACGCAAAATAAGAATGCTATCCACCTAGGGACTGAAGTAGTTCTTTTAATCCCGAGACAGAAAGTTTATAGCCCTACCCTACTGAAGGGAGGGTATAATTTGTCTAGGGATCAAAAAACATTAATCCTGAGGTTTATACACTATTTCATGTACTTTAGAGGGATTAAAAGTACCCTTTTATTCCCTCTGTTCCATCTAATCCCCGAAAAATAAAGTAAAAATTTAATCCCTTGGGAAATTGTCAATGAAGAACAATGTTTTTTTTTTGGACAATAAAGCTTATTTTGATTTGATTTGAAATAAAGTGAAATTTGATCCCGGGGATTAAAAGACCCACTAACCTCCTTAAAACAGGGATTAAAGGGGTAGGTACTTTTAATCCCTAAAATGCATAAAATGCAATAGTTTATTCTTATCGTCGAAAAGTACTTTTAATTTGTTCCAACTTTTTAAAAAAATTCGTGAAATCGGGACATTTAGCGTCCCGACGTATAGTCCATCGTGATACGGGACAAAATCTCCAATATCGGGACTGTCCCGTTAAAATCGGGACGTCTGGCAACCCTACCTGTAACTAGGGTTGTTACGCTGGAACTGGACCTGTTCTTTTGGAACAGGTATGACCTGCCTGTTCCGTGTACCTATTACCAAATATTAGATTTACCTGTTTCGAGTTTGCTGAACAGGCGCTAGCACCGTCACGTCTTTGCCATAAGCCTAGTATATTAAGGAATCTGCTGCTGTATCTTCTATCTTCTTGATTTTACATACAGTGGCGACAATAGAGGTCCCGCCGCCATTTTGTAGCCAACCTCTTGCTACTTTCAAATATAAATATTATGGGATTTAAATGGAAAATGGACATCCATCATAAAAAATTGAAAACAACGTATTTGATGTAGGTACATAGGGAATAATAGTCATCAAATAGGTACTTTACGTTGTTTTCAATTTTTCATAATTTGTCCATTTATAAATCCTATGTATTCATATTTAAAATTAGCAAGAGGGTAGGTCACAAAATGGCGGCGTTATAGCGCTAGCCACCTATCGGCGACCATAGCTGGGTTCGGCTATTCAGCGCGGAGTTGGATTGGAGTGAACAGAGCTAATGGAGTCACCCCTAATACGGTAAAAAAAGCAATACCCGAACCTTAGAGGGGGTGTGCGCCAAAAATTAAAGTTTTAGTGTAAAAAAATCCAAGAATAACTGTTCAAACCTCGTTATTCTACGATAAACCATCGCTGAGATATACCGCTTTAAAGTGTGACGACGCTCTCGTGACGTCACGACAACTTCGTCCAGCCGCGCTCTGCATTGTTAATTTGATTGTTCCCGGTGCGCGTGAGTGGTTTTTGTTTAGATTATTGCAGGTAACACAGGAAAAACATATGTAATGGATAACGCACACCTAACATGGGATTTTTGGGCTCTATGGATTTTGCCCATTTTTTGATATGTTGTAGAGGATTTAATTCTGAACAACCTCTAAATCGGACGAAATCTTGTATGTATTACGGTCTTCGAGATATGAGCGTTGAAAGATGAACTTTTTTGCGACTTTTTGTGTGGAGAGTATACGAAATACTGGTGCTACTGGTGTTCATCAGACAAAATATTAACAGGTTCACATATTTTACGTCACTTTAAAATTAATGTCAATCAATTTAAGGACGGGACCGCACTGGGGTCATTGTTGGCGCCAGTGCGGTCCCGGCCTTAGCCTATGTTGACATTTGTTAGTGACGTAAAATATGTCGCCCTGAAAATTTTAACTGATAAACACCAGTTTTTCGTATAATCTCCACACAAAAACTTGCAAAAAATTTCATCTTTCAAGGGTCATATCTCAAAGACCGTAAGATTACCGTAAGATTTCGTTCCATTTAAAGGTTGTTCAGAATTAAATCCTCTACGACATATCAAAAAATGGGCAAAATCCATAGAGCCCAGAAATCCCATGTTAGGTGTGCGTTATGCTTTAATTAACTCCACTTTCTCGTGGGTCGCTTGAGCTTTCGTGACGTCATAGGGTGAGATGTGGTACCTTCATAAAGCCATATCTGCGGTATTATTTGTCATAGGGGGGTGCGGATTTCACTGTTATTCTTAGATTTTTTTTCTCTTTTTTTTGAGATGAAGTTGTTTTTTTGGCGCACACCCCCTTTAACCCAAACGGCTGGAGTGCGAATGGAGTCACTCGGAGTGAGCAAGCCGAACCCAGCTCATGTGAATCATTGAGTTTGACAGGGAATAGTTTGGAGCTGGAACAGGTATTTGTTATAGGTTTGTTTTGGGAGCAGTTACAGGTTGTAACAGGTACAAGAAAACGCTATTCCATAACATCTCTACCTCTACTAACTTATCAACTAAAGTGTATTGTATTTAATTACAAGATCAACGTTACAAGTTACTCCGATCGTTCGGTTTGAATTTTTAGCGTAAATGGAGTGGCTACGTTCACAAATTTATGTTCACGTTCACATTCCAGTAAATGGAGCGAATATAAAACCGAGCACTAGACTCTGGATTTAAAAAAGCTTTCTTGCCATGCGTTCGGTATATTGCTCAAGGAGCAGAGCATGCTGAGCCGAGCCGTAATCATGTAACCAGCGAATGAACAAAGCAGTTGAACGCTGTATCTGAGTGCCCGAAACTTTAATAAACGAACGCGAATGAGCCTGCACCGAGTACACATTTTAAATAAAAGAACGGTAAATTCAAGCTCAGATCAAAATACCGAACGCACGGTTTAGGGGAGTTACTCCAAGGTTACTCCTAATGACTCCGACCGAATAGCTCCGGAACTAGTATATTGAAAATCGCTTAATTTTTTTTACTCTAAGAACGTGACAAGAAAACTGCTCTGACTCCAACTTTAACTTCGTATCGTAGTAATAGCGTGGGGAGCCACTGTAGCGTGGGGGTAGCCACGCCTTTATTATTATTTTTTGACAAGTAAATATTTATAGGTTATGTTTATGTATATCAGCTGTTCAACTTCATCACAATCAGAGCAAAACAAAAAATATATATTATTATAATCTTCTCTTCAAATAAGTTAATTAATTACACCTTGAGCATTAATTCAAAGTTTCTCAAGTAATTACTCAATATTTCAACAAACACTATTGTAACAAATTGGAGAAAATTGCTTTCAATATGTCATCCTACCTTCGTGGGTCTACGAACTATGTATGGTCCACGACAAGTATATTGGGAAAAGGGGCCACCGCCACAGTACACCAAGGAGTGAACAAAGTAAACGGAGAACCTGTAGCGGTCAAGACTTTCAATCATATATCGACTCTACGACCCCAAGAAGTACAAATAAGAGAATTCGAAGTTTTAAGGTAAATACAAACTGTTGATTTGGTAGATTACTTACTAAAAACTTGATTATTATAGAAAAGTGAACCATGAAAACATAGTCAAGTTGTTGGCCATTGAAGAAGAACAAGAAAATAAAGGAAAAGTGATTGTAATGGAACTGTGTACCGGAGGAAGTTTATTCAATATTTTGGATGATCCAGAAAACACATATGGTTTAGAGGAAGGTGAATTCTTATTGGTCTTGGAACATTTATATGCAGGAATGCAACATTTGAGAGATAATAATTTGGTGCATAGAGACCTGAAACCAGGTAATTATTATTATTTATTTTTACAATTAATATGCTAAAGACAAGCAATATCTAAAGCAAAAGAACTTGTTCATGATAGGTATATTAATGGTGCTACAAATATGTGAGTATCAAGCTATGTGAAACTTTATTCAATCCTCGATTCAATCACAAAAAAAAAAAATAGGGTTGAGCTCCAGAATCTCGTAACTTCAATGCAAAAGTTTTTAACAATTTTTTTATTAACATCGCTGAAGAGGTCATAAAAGGTTTGCCAAAAATCCTATATTGGTCACCAGTTGTGAGAGTGATGTCTTTAAATTTAGAGAAGTCATCCGCAGTGTGTTGGCACACAGCCAAAATCAATATGAATTAAGCACAAAAAGAATCAAACATCTAAAGGACATCTAAATAGTACCTATCTATAAAAGCAAAGGTACTACTGTCACAACCTGTTTTGTCGTGACTGGGGACTTGGGATCCAGTCCAAAATGAAAACCAAATGTAAAATAAAAATGCCTGTTTATTACTTACAAAATAAAATAAATAATAATGAAATAGGGGAAAGTAACATGAATAATTTTATAAATTTAAAATGATGAGTTTACAAATTGAACTTGACTTACTGCTGGAAATCCATCTTTCTGTAACGTTATAACTTTAACTTTTTCGCGCCCGATAACCCAGCTCAAGCTTTGTTATCTGCTTCAGCTTTAAAACCCAACTCACTAGGAAAACCGAATTATTGATCCAAGTCGATTTCCTATTGTCAGCAAGAAATTATTGATTCCTCAAACTTGGGTCGTTGCACCAAGTTTTTTGCTGCAATTATTCAATGCAATACCAGTATTGCCCAATATTGGTAATAATCGTTTATCCTGTTATACAGGAAACTAAATTAGAACAATACGACATGTCAATGAACTTTCGAATTATAATATAATTAATATTTTAATGGGTGTTATTCTTTGGCTTGATAGTACCTCTAACGGGTTTAATAATAATTATGGTCCTATCACCCTTTTTCCCATACCTAGAATCATTAATGAAAGATTATTCATCTGTAATCACTGTGAAAGTAGCAATCTTTTTACTCAGAGTCAGTTTGGTTTTAGAAATAAAAAATCTACAACCTTGGCAATCAACGCCTAACTGAGTTTGTGGCAAAGGGTTTTGAAGAAAAGCATGATACTTATGCTTCCTTCCTGGACCTTACATCAGCTTTGGTCTGTATCTCCTTTGACATCCTTTTTACCAAACTTAAGCATTACAACTTCCATCCGAGCAGCGTAGCTTTTGTCAGATTCTACATAGAAGAGAGAGAACAGTATGTGCTCTTTAATAATACAAGCATGAGCAGGTTTGGCGTCCCTTAAGGCTGTGCTGGGCCCGCTTCTTCTCATCTACATCAATAATCTTCCAAATTTCTGTGAAATTGTGAATCATTTACATATCTTATTTCAAGGGGTAAACCACCATCCCAGAATTGGTGCAAACAATTCCTCAAAGGGAAATTTTTCATGTATAATTCCTGCAAATTCCTCCAGATACCCCATCACAAATTCCTCCAAATACCCCAGCATGAACTTCTCTAAATACCCCACAAATTCCTCTAAATTCTCTGCGAATTCCTTCAAATTCTCACAAATTCCTCCAAACTCCTCTCAAATTTCCTACAAATGTCTCTTACAAGTGGAAAACAGCAACATGAAAAATCTTGGAAATCAACCTACAAAAACTGAATTAGTTGAAAATACGGTCTGGCAGATTTCAAAGTTTTCCTGGAAAACTAGTCAAGGGAAAGTTTTGAAACTTTTTGTAAGTAAAGAGGAAGGTGAGAAGCTCATTTTCACAAAATTTCAAATTTTTCCAGTAGAAAATTACAACATGAGGAATCTTGGAAATCAACCTACAATAACTGAATTAATTGAAAATACATTCTCACACATTTCAAAGTTTTCCTGGAAAACTAGTGAAGGGAAAATTTTGAAACTTTTTACATGTAAAGAGGAAGGTGAGAAGCTCATTTTCCCAGAATTTCAAATTTTTCCAGTAGAAAATTACAACATGAGGAATCTTGGAAATCAACCTGTAATAGGTGAATTAATTGAAAATATACAGTCTCACATATTTCAAATGGACTAAAAACTAGTGGAGGGAAAATTTTGAAACTTTTTGTATGTAAAGAGGAAGGTTAGAAGCTCATTTTACAAAATTTCAAATTTTTCCAGTAAAAAATTACAACATGAGGAATCTTGGAAATCAACATACAATAACTGGATTGAAAATAAAGTCTCACATATTTCAAAGTTTTCCTGGAAAACTAGTGAAGGGAAAATTTTGAAACTTTTTGTATGTAAAGAAGAAGGTGAGAAGCTCATTTTCCCAGAATTTCAAATTTTTCCATTAGACAATTACAACATGAGGAATCTTGGAAATCAACCTATAATAGGTGAATTAAAGGAAAATATAGTCTCACATATTTCAAAGTTTTCCTGGAAAACTAGTGAAGGGAAAATTTTGAAACTTTTGGTGTGTAAAGAGGAAGGTTAGAAGCTCATTTTCCCAAAATTTCAAATTTTTCCAGTAGAAAATTACAACATGAGGAATCTTGGAAATCAACCTACAATAACTGAATTAATTGAAAATACAGTCTCACACATTTCAAAGTTTTCCTGGAAAACTAGTGAAGGGAAAATTTTGAAACTTTTTACATGTAAAGAGGAAGGTGAGAAGCTCATTTTCCCAGAATTTCAAATTTTTCCAGTAGAAAATTACAACATGAGGAATCTTGGAAATCAACCTGTAATAGGTGAATTAATTGAAAATATACAGTCTCGCATATTTCAAATGGACTAAAAACTAGTGGAGGGAAAATTTTGAAACTTTTTGTATGTAAAGAGGAAGGTTAGAAGCTCATTTTACAAAATTTCAAATTTTTCCAGTAAAAAATTACAACATGAGGAATCTTGGAAATCAACATACAATAACTGGATTGAAAATAAAGTCTCACATATTTCAAAGTTTTCCTGGAAAACTAGTGAAGGGAAAATTTTGAAACTTTTTGTATGTAAAGAAGAAGGTGAGAAGCTCATTTTCCCAGAATTTCAAATTTTTCCATTAGACAATTACAACATGAGGAATCTTGGAAATCAACCTATAATAGGCGAATTAAAAGAAAATATAGTCTCACATATTTCAAAGTTTTCCTGGAAAACTAGTGAAGGGAAAATTTTGAAACTTTTTGTGTGTAAAGAGGAAGGTTAGAAGCTCATTTTCCCAAAATTTCAAATTTTTCCAGTAGAAAATTACAACATGAGGAATCTTGGAAATCAACATACAATAACTGATTTAATTGAAAATAAAGTCTCACATATTTCAAAGTTTTCCTGGAAAACTAGTGAAGGGAAAATTTTGAAACTTTTTGTGTGTAAAGAGGAAGGTTAGAAGCTCATTTTCCCAAAATTTCAAATTTTTCCAGTAGAAAATTACAACATGAGGAATCTTGGAAATCAACCTACAATAACTGAATTAATTGAAAATACAGTCTCACACATTTCAAAGTTTTCCTGGAAAACTAGTGAAGGGAAAATTTTGAAACTTTTTACATGTAAAGAGGAAGGTGAGAAGCTCATTTTCCCAGAATTCAAATTTTTCCAGTAGAAAATTACAACATGAGGAATCTTGGAAATCAACCTGTAATAGGTGAATTAATTGAAAATATACAGTCTCGCATATTTCAAATGGACTAAAAACTAGTGGAGGGAAAATTTTGAAACTTTTTGTATGTAAAGAGGAAGGTTAGAAGCTCATTTTACAAAATTTCAAATTTTTCCAGTAAAAAATTACAACATGAGGAATCTTGGAAATCAACATACAATAACTGGATTGAAAATAAAGTCTCACATATTTCAAAGTTTTCCTGGAAAACTAGTGAAGGGAAAATTTTGAAACTTTTTGTATGTAAAGAAGAAGGTGAGAAGCTCATTTTCCCAGAATTTCAAATTTTTCCATTAGACAATTACAACATGAGGAATCTTGGAAATCAACCTATAATAGGCGAATTAAAAGAAAATATAGTCTCACATATTTCAAAGTTTTCCTGGAAAACTAGTGAAGGGAAAATTTTGAAACTTTTTGTGTGTAAAGAGGAAGGTTAGAAGCTCATTTTCCCAAAATTTCAAATTTTTCCAGTAGAAAATTACAACATGAGGAATCTTGGAAATCAACATACAATAACTGATTTAATTGAAAATAAAGTCTCACATATTTCAAAGTTTTCCTGGAAAACTAGTGAAGGGAAAATTTTGAAACTTTTTGTGTGTAAAGAGGAAGGTTAGAAGCTCATTTTCCCAAAATTTCAAATTTTTCCAGTAGAAAATTACAACATGAGGAATCTTGGAAATCAACCTACAATAACTGAATTAATTGAAAATACAGTCTCACACATTTCAAAGTTTTCCTGGAAAACTAGTGAAGGGAAAATTTTGAAACTTTTTACATGTAAAGAGGAAGGTGAGAAGCTCATTTTCCCAGAATTTCAAATTTTTCCAGTAGAAAATTACAACAAGAGGAATCTTGGAAATCAACCTGTAATAGGTGAATTAATTGAAAATATACAGTCTCGCATATTTCAAATGGACTAAAAACTAGTGGAGGGAAAATTTTGAAACTTTTTGTATGTAAAGAGGAAGGTTAGAAAGCTCATTTTACAAAATTTCAAATTTTTCCAGTAAAAAATTACAACATGAGGAATCTTGGAAATCAACATACAATAACTGGATTGAAAATAAAGTCTCACATATTTCAAAGTTTTCCTGGAAAACTAGTGAAGGGAAAATTTTGAAACTTTTTGTATGTAAAGAAGAAGGTGAGAAGCTCATTTTCCCAGAATTTCAAATTTTTCCATTAGACAATTACAACATGAGGAATCTTGGAAATCAACCTATAATAGGCGAATTAAAAGAAAATATAGTCTCACATATTTCAAAGTTTTCCTGGAAAACTAGTGAAGGGAAAATTTTGAAACTTTTTGTGTGTAAAGAGGAAGGTTAGAAGCTCATTTTCCCAAAATTTCAAATTTTTCCAGTAGAAAATTACAACATGAGGAATCTTGGAAATCAACATACAATAACTGATTTAATTGAAAATAAAGTCTCACATATTTCAAAGTTTTCCTGGAAAACTAGTGAAGGGAAAATTTTGAAACTTTTTGAAAGTAAAGAGGAAGGTGTGAAGCTCATTTTTCCAAAATTTCAAATTTTTCCAGTAGAAAATTACAACATGAGGAATCTTGGAAATCAAACTTTGGATAACTGAATTATTTGAAAATACAGTCTCACACATTTCAAAGTTTTCCTGGAAAACTAGTGAAGGGAAAATTTTGAAACTTTTTGTGTGTAAAGAGGAAGGTTAGAAGCTCATTTTCCCAAAATTTCAAATTTTTCCAGTAGAAAATTACAACATGAGGAATCTTGGAAATCAACATACAATAACTGGATTGAAAATAAAGTCTCACATATTTCAAAGTTTTCCTGGAAAACTAGTGAAGGGAAAATTTTGAAACTTTTTGTATGTAAAGAAGAAGGTGAGAAGCTCATTTTCCCAGAATTTCAAATTTTTCCATTAGACAATTACAACATGAGGAATCTTGGAAATCAACCTATAATAGGTGAATTAAAGGAAAATATAGTCTCACATATTTCAAAGTTTTCCTGGAAAACTAGTGAAGGGAAAATTTTGAAACTTTTGGTGTGTAAAGAGGAAGGTTAGAAGCTCATTTTCCCAAAATTTCAAATTTTTCCAGTAGAAAATTACAACATGAGGAATCTTGGAAATCAACCTACAATAACTGAATTAATTGAAAATACAGTCTCACACATTTCAAAGTTTTCCTGGAAAACTAGTGAAGGGAAAATTTTGAAACTTTTTACATGTAAAGAGGAAGGTGAGAAGCTCATTTTCCCAGAATTTCAAATTTTTCCAGTAGAAAATTACAACATGAGGAATCTTGGAAATCAACCTGTAATAGGTGAATTAATTGAAAATATACAGTCTCGCATATTTCAAATGGACTAAAAACTAGTGGAGGGAAAATTTTGAAACTTTTTGTATGTAAAGAGGAAGGTTAGAAGCTCATTTTACAAAATTTCAAATTTTTCCAGTAAAAAATTACAACATGAGGAATCTTGGAAATCAACATACAATAACTGGATTGAAAATAAAGTCTCACATATTTCAAAGTTTTCCTGGAAAACTAGTGAAGGGAAAATTTTGAAACTTTTTGTATGTAAAGAAGAAGGTGAGAAGCTCATTTTCCCAGAATTTCAAATTTTTCCATTAGACAATTACAACATGAGGAATCTTGGAAATCAACCTATAATAGGCGAATTAAAAGAAAATATAGTCTCACATATTTCAAAGTTTTCCTGGAAAACTAGTGAAGGGAAAATTTTGAAACTTTTTGTGTGTAAAGAGGAAGGTTAGAAGCTCATTTTCCCAAAATTTCAAATTTTTCCAGTAGAAAATTACAACATGAGGAATCTTGGAAATCAACATACAATAACTGATTTAATTGAAAATAAAGTCTCACATATTTCAAAGTTTTCCTGGAAAACTAGTGAAGGGAAAATTTTGAAACTTTTTGTGTGTAAAGAGGAAGGTTAGAAGCTCATTTTCCCAAAATTTCAAATTTTTCCAGTAGAAAATTACAACATGAGGAATCTTGGAAATCAACCTACAATAACTGAATTAATTGAAAATACAGTCTCACACATTTCAAAGTTTTCCTGGAAAACTAGTGAAGGGAAAATTTTGAAACTTTTTACATGTAAAGAGGAAGGTGAGAAGCTCATTTTCCCAGAATTTCAAATTTTTCCAGTAGAAAATTACAACATGAGGAATCTTGGAAATCAACCTGTAATAGGTGAATTAATTGAAAATATACAGTCTCGCATATTTCAAATGGACTAAAAACTAGTGGAGGGAAAATTTTGAAACTTTTTGTATGTAAAGAGGAAGGTTAGAAGCTCATTTTACAAAATTTCAAATTTTTCCAGTAAAAAATTACAACATGAGGAATCTTGGAAATCAACATACAATAACTGGATTGAAAATAAAGTCTCACATATTTCAAAGTTTTCCTGGAAAACTAGTGAAGGGAAAATTTTGAAACTTTTTGTATGTAAAGAAGAAGGTGAGAAGCTCATTTTCCCAGAATTTCAAATTTTTCCATTAGACAATTACAACATGAGGAATCTTGGAAATCAACCTATAATAGGCGAATTAAAAGAAAATATAGTCTCACATATTTCAAAGTTTTCCTGGAAAACTAGTGAAGGGAAAATTTTGAAACTTTTTGTGTGTAAAGAGGAAGGTTAGAAGCTCATTTTCCCAAAATTTCAAATTTTTCCAGTAGAAAATTACAACATGAGGAATCTTGGAAATCAACATACAATAACTGATTTAATTGAAAATAAAGTCTCACATATTTCAAAGTTTTCCTGGAAAACTAGTGAAGGGAAAATTTTGAAACTTTTTGAAAGTAAAGAGGAAGGTGTGAAGCTCATTTTTCCAAAATTTCAAATTTTTCCAGTAGAAAATTACAACATGAGGAATCTTGGAAATCAAACTTTGGATAACTGAATTATTTGAAAATACAGTCTCACACATTTCAAAGTTTTCCTGGAAAACTAGTGAAGGGAAAATTTTGAAACTTTTTGTGTGTAAAGAGGAAGGTTAGAAGCTCATTTTCCCAAAATTTCAAATTTTTCCAGTAGAAAATTACAACATGAGGAATCTTGGAAATCAACATACAATAACTGATTTAATTGAAAATAAAGTCTCACATATTTCAAAGTTTTCCTGGAAAACTAGTGAAGCGAAAATTTTGAAACTTTTTGAAAGTAAAGAGGAAGGTGTGAAGCTCATTTTTCCAAAATTTCAAATTTTTCCAGTAGAAAATTACAACATGAGGAATCTTGGAAATCAAACTTTGGATAACTGAATTATTTGAAAATACAGTCTCACACATTTCAAAGTTTTCCTGGAAAACTAGCGAAGGGAAAATTTTGAAACTTTTTGCATGTAAAGAAGAAGGTGAGAAGCTCATATTTCTAAAATTTCAAATTTTTCCAGTAGAAAATTACATGAAGAATCTTGGAAATCAACCTCTAATAACTGAATTAATTGAAAATACAGTCTCACATATTTCAAAGTTTTCCTGAAAAACTAGTGAAGGGAAAGTTTTGAAACTTTTTGTAAGTAAAGAGCAAGGTGAGAAGCTCATTTTCCCAAAATTTCAAATTTTTCCAGTAGAAAATTACAACATGAGGAATCTTGGAAATCAACCTCTAATAACTGAATTAATTGAAAATACAGTCTCACATATTTCAAAGTTTTCCTGAAAGACTAGTGAAGGGAAAGTTTTGAAACTTTTTGTAAGTAAAGAGCAAGGTACGAAGCTCATTTTCCCAAAGTTTCAAATTTTTCTAGTCAAAAACTGTAACATGAAAAATTTTGGAAAACACCCTACAAAAACTGTATTCATTATTCTTTTGAATTTTTTAAATTTGGACCTGTGTTAATAAAAATGTCCAACACAAAACTAGATTTTATTTAAAATTTCCATTTATTACTATTTCTTCTCGTATTTCTTATAATAAGAATGTGAACCTCAGTGATGTCATGATTCTTCAATTTCCTTCAAATTCCTCACAAATTCTTCCAAATTCCACATAAAAATACTTTCAAATTCCCTATAAATTCCCTAAATTCTCATAAATTTCGATGAGTTCCTTCAAATTCCCCACAAATTCCTCTAAATTTCCCACAAATTCCTTTAAATTCCCCACATTTTTGGCAAAGAATTCCTAGGTGATTTGCCCCTTATCTTATTTGCTGATCACACAACCACCTTACAAGAATATCACCCGTCAGAACTCATTAAAGAGATAATAGAAAACAGCCAAACACAAATTAAGAACTGGTTTTTAGCTAACAAACTCAGTGGTGTATATCTTGACCCAGGACCCAGTTGGGAAACTCATGTGAAAAACCTTAGCGCCAAGCGAGGGGTAAACCACCTTGAAAAATAAGTTCACCAGAATCCTACTGGAATTTTACTGAAAATCAATGAAATTTTGGATTTGATTTGAGTTCTATTCAATTTTAAACCTCAATAATGCGTCGTTCTGATATAAAAATGGGGAGTTTTATGTATGCAAAAATGATTAAAATCTGGAAAAATCACTTGTGCAAAATACCTACTTCTAACGATCACAGTACCTTGAAACTTTCAGGATTTATGAATTGAAGTTTCCTCTTTGTGGAAAAGTTAATTTGAAGCTTCAAACTAAATTTGGAAGCGTTAATGCATGCAAAAATGATTAAAAGTTGCAAAAATCACTTGTGGAAAATACTTCCAATGATCACAGTGACTTGGAACTTTCAGGAACAATGAATTACTCAAAGTATTTTCCATATGAAAAGTTAAGAATGAAAATTTACCCAGGTATTTACCCAAAATATATTTACCGGGTATTTGCCCATCCTCATGCCCATTACTACCAATAAATAAACTAAACTATACTTTTATTTAATTCAGGAAACATAATGAAATTTATAAGAGACGACGGCACCACTGTCTACAAACTTACGGACTTTGGGGCGGCCAGAGAACTACCAGACGGACAGCATTTCATGTCGCTCTACGGTACTGAGGAGTATTTGCATCCTGACATGTACGAAAGGGCTGTGCTAAGGAAAAACGCCAATAAAACCTTTGGAGCTACTATTGATTTGTGGTCTATTGGTGTTACTTTGTATCATGTTGCTACTGGAAATTTACCATTCAGGCCTTATGGCGGAAGGAGGAATAAGGAGACTATGCATCATATTACAACAAAAAAGGTAGGGGTGGATTAGAGTATTGGAGTTGTTTTTGATGGCTATGAATTGATTCATTGGAATTTATCTTCTAAAACTGAAATTATGATAATTTTGATCATGAGTGCTTAAAAATGAATATTATTTCAATTTGTGTCACAGTATAGATACAGGGTATTTCAAATTTGAGACACATCAAATGTGTTGGTTGAATTTTGTAGCCACTAATCACTTTTCTCCCCTATAGTCCCCGCATGTAAGAAAAAGGATTGAAAGAATGTGACCGCCCGCGCCCCAATAATGTAAATCAAATTTGAAAGACCTTCTTTATCAATGTATTTTATTTTTTTCAGGAAAGTGGAGTCATATCCGGAATTCAAACCAAAGAAAACGGCCCGATCGAGTACAAAAGAGAATTACCAGTGAACTGTCAATTGAGCACAGGCCTCAAAAAAATCATCACTCCCCTCTTGGCCGGTTTACTAGAAGCAGACCATAAAAAAATTTGGACTTTTGATATGTTTTTTGGGGAAGTCGATGGGGTCCTTGCAAGAAAAGCGGTAAATATTTTTCACGTCAACAAATCTGTGCTTATAAAAGTTTACATTGATCCGAATGAGACCTATCAACAGTTGCAAGACTATATTACCGAACAAACTGATGTCACCCCTGAAAATCAAATATTACTTTATAAAACATCTTTGTTGAGTAGCCTTATAGAAGATTACGTGAAGGCGAGTGGATTTCCTCAAACCACAGAAGACGATCCCTTGTTTTTATTTTGCAAAGAAAATAACAACATAAATATTCCACCTTTTCAAGAGCTGCCAAAATTCAATGATTTTTCTACGGTTATTTCTGTGGAGAATGATGCAAGCCATGCAAAGTTTGCTTGTAGTATAGGACATCAAGCCAAAAGACAAATTGAAAGATATTCGTTGTTCAGTAAATTAATTTGTGATACTATAGAAAATTTTACAAAATATATTAACGTTAATTTAAAAGAAGTTTATCAGCAGTCACAGCATCTTTTAGAAAAAACAGATATATTCAAGAAAACAGCTCAAATATTTGAGCTATCTCAAAAACTAAGCAATTACAACTTGAAAACTGACACCGTTCCTGAGTTGGATAGTATTAGTAAAGATTTTCTTTCTGCCACTGCAGTGGGTGTTCACGGACTACATAAACAATACACATTGGAAAATAATCTCAAACTACAATGGGAATCTATCAGTAGGGAATTAAAGTGTCCTTTTAAAACTTTAGCTCCTGCACGGGCAAAAACTTTAGTAGAACATCTCAGAGATTCTTGGCAGCATTTGGTAAGAGACAGAGCTACACGTACGCTATCCTATAACGATGAACAATTTCATATTTTGGAAAGGATCAAAATTACACAGACAATACACCGCTTGAAAAACTTGATAGAATCTGAAGTTTATACCCAATATGAAGCTCTATCTGAAAATTTCGGAGACTGGTATAAAATGGCCCAAAATGTGCATTTAAAAACTGAAATTTTAGCTGCAGATGTAAACAAATATGATTCAAAGTTAAAGGACTTTGAGGAAAAATTTACTATTGACAATGTCGAATTTTCTGAATATCTTAAAAATAATTATGAACATTCCAAGAAAACCACAGTGATTAAAAGGACTGGATCGTTGCAGGATCAAAAATTGAGAAATAGTTTGAGGAACTACATGAAAGAGAGTGGCGATATTAAAGAACTTATAAGGACAAATACTAAAATGATGAATACTTTATTGGAGTTTACTACGGATTTAAAGGAAAGATATTTGGAGGAATAATTGTATTATGGATAAATATATTATTAGGTTTATAGTTAGGTAATGAATTATAATATTTTATGTTCCTTAAATTCTTGTTTATTGGCTTGACATATATAAATTTTGGTACGTGGGTATTATTTTTATTCGAAAGTGTAAAAAGGTAAAAGAAAAAATAATTAGTTGGTAATTTTGGCTGGTACTTCAAAGCAAATTGCATCTTTTCCTGACTCGCTATCTGTGAGGGACCAGTGGACAACGGTTTTTAGCTGAAAAAAAACAAAAATTGACTATTAACTCATGATTTTTCATATTTTGTTACTATATCTGGTTGGTTATTGATGTTCTGTCTCACTGAGATGGTCAGCTGACAGACTGCATTTAAAAAAAATAATGAATAATTTACCTTATATCCTTTAAAAAGAAAAATTGTTTTCTGACGCAAACACTTTAAAGTAAAGGTTAAAAAAAACTGGTTGGGAAATGGACTTTTGATGGGCCAATTAATTTGAAAAATCCACTGTTCGCATGTATGCGGATACATGACAAAGTAATAAGTGAGAAATTGACATCATCACCGAACTTACAAAAACGTGTCTATAATCACATTAAGTGCATACTTGTTGTAGATAAAATAACTTATGTATTAATTCTCACCCTGGGATAGATCTGCAAAACATCAATTGAATCCTTAAAGACATACGTTTTGCCTTTCTGGAACTGGCAATTATTTTTGGTCTTCTCATCCTCTTCATAGATTTTATCACAGGCATTGGTGCCATCTACGCCAATGAACGGGAAAGGGATACCCATAATATTAGCGTTGACCGTCTGAATCAAATTTTTGTAGTTGTATTCCGGTATGAACTTCATGGTTAGTGGAACTTTAGTGTTTTTTCTCAACCTACACGGTGGCTTCTCGCAGTTTCCGACTTTGATTTTTTCCTGGAGCTTATCGATTTTTCCTACAAGAGATTTTTTGATTTATGTATTTATAGTTATTTATGTAAATCAGTTAAATTACATTTAAGTGGTACCATAGATCAGTCACTATACTTAATTAGAGTAACCTAATATTTAAATTAGTGAGTGAGTAATATTTTATTTTTATTCTGCAGATTCCTTTAAAATCATTATTATAGTGATAAAGTTTGTGAGGCTGTCGCGGCCCAGGTTTATTGATAAGGGGTTTTCATTCGGGCTTAATGGCCGTCGTAAGTTGGAATTTCTTCCTGACGTTTCGCTGGCTAGCATTTTCAGAGGTGCTTCCATGTCCGATTCTGGTAGCAGACTGACGCGTCTATGGATCTTTTTGTCGTTCCTATGTATACCTGTGTATACCTAATGTGGTGAATAATGTAAGGGTTTTTAAAGACTGACACCGAAATACCAACTGGTATATTAATATACAGTGTGTATCAGCCAAATGCAATATAAATTCGATAATAAATAAATAGTTTTTCTGAACTAACTAGCACATCTTTCAAATCGAAATGCACTCTACTAAGTAGGTTATTCAACTTTACTTCTCGAGTGAAAGCGCGGCCTACTACTTAGCTTGTATGATATAAGTAATGTTCGTTTTTGATATTCACATCAATTTAACCTATATTTCCCAATACTGTGCCCATGAATTCATCCTCAATATAGGTATTAAAAAAAAATATATCATAAATAATCAAAACAAGAAATTATTGTCCACGAGTTACTTTCTCAAAAGATGTCAAGGAGAACTACAGCATATTATTATCATCAGTACCATAATTATCATTAATTTTGAATATTGTATCAGTAAATCATTGTTAATTTATATTTATAAGTTTGAATTAAATAATACACTATAGGTAGCGGTTTTTTTTTCAAAGATGACTTCACAGTACCTACACATTCACTTATCAGGTGATTAGTTGCCATACCTCCGGGTTCGACCTGTGGACACAGGTATGAAAAAACACTCGACTATAATCTTTGGACGATTATTAAAAAACTTTTATTCTGGCAAATAATAGTCAATTATGTATGAATAAATTTTGTTTATTTCCCAATCAAAAATTGTCCTAATCGTGTTAAATGGTGGTGATTTTCTCATATATTTAGAGGAGAAATTTATTAATTTTTCTTTAAATGTAAAGAAAATAGAAATACTAAATAATAATTAGCAGTGGTTGAAGATGACATATAGAAAAATAACAAGATGTTTATGAGACGAAATCCAAATCGCGGTTTTAGTTTTCGAAAGCAGTGTACGAAGTACAACGGAAATTGAGAATATATAATCGGCAACAAAAAATACATTAATAAATAAATACTTATTTCTGTATAAAATCATGTTTTTTACATATATATTATAGTTTTGCATAGAAATAGCAATATTTATAGTTTGCTGGTATACTACTGAAGAAAACCATGAGAGGACACACTATGGAGTTCGGGTTATGTTAATTTATTTTGTTCATAACTTTTTTTCTATTATAGATAGAAAGCCGAAACTTTTACTGAATTTTATCCCTTTCAAAGGACTACAATCCCTGCAAATTTCAGCTCATTTGCACTTATAGTTCCTGAGATAAAATCGTGTTAAGCAATTTGGGGTGATTTATCAATTTTTCAATTTTTCTGAGTGCCTTTTTTCATAGATTTCGGCTTCAAATCTGAGAATAATTTTGTGTATGAAGTTTGGAGTATGTTGATTGACCATTAGGATACAAAATCTCGACAAAAAAATTTTTGAAATTTCATCGTTTTAGTAAGAAGGTACCCCCCTTCTGATTTTTTCGAAAAACTTTGAAAGGTCATAAATTTTTTTCTATTATAGATAGAAAGCTGAAACTTTCACTGAATTATATCCCTTTCAAAGGACTACAATCCCTGAAAATTTCAGCTCATTCGCACTTATAGTTCCTGAGATAAAATCGTGTTAAGCAATTTGGGGTGATTTATCAATTTTTCAATTTTTCTGAGTGCCTTTTTTCATAGATTTCGGCTTCAAATCTGAGAATAATTTTGTGTATGAAGTTTGGGGTATGTTGATTGACCATTAGGATACAAAATCTCGACAAAAAAATTTTTGAAATTTCATCGTTTTAGTAAGAAGGTACCCCCCTTCTGATTTTTTCGAAAAACTTTGAAAGGTCATAAATTTTTTTCTATTATAGATAGAAAGCTGAAACTTTCACTGAATTTTATCCCTTTCAAAGGACTACAATCCCTGAAAATTTCAGCTCATTCGCACTTATAGTTCCTGAGATAAAATCGTGTTAAGCAATTTGGGGTGATTTATCAATTTTTCAATTTTTCTGAGTGCCTTTTTTCATTGATTTCGGCTTCAAATCTGAGAATAATTTTGTGTATGGAGTTTGGGGTATGTTGATTGACCATTAGGATACAAAATCTCGACAAAAAAAAATTTGAAATTTCATCGTTTTAGTAAGAAGGTACCCCCCTTATGATTTTTTTGAAAAACTTTGAAAAGTCATAACTTTTTTCCTATTATAGATAGAAAGCTGAAACTTTCACTGAATTTTATCCCTTTCAAAGGACTACATTCCCTGAAAATTTCAGCTCATTCGCACTTATAGTTCCTGAGATAAAATCGTGTTAAGCAATTTGGGGTGATTTATCAATTTTTCAATTTTTCTGAGTGCCTTTTTTCATAGATTTCGGCTTCAAATCTGAGAATAATTTTGTGTATGAAGTTTGGGGTATGTTGATTGACCATTAGGATACAAAATCTCGACAAAAAAATTTTTGAAATTTCATCGTTTTAGTAAGAAGGTACCCCCCTTCTGATTTTTTCGAAAAACTTTGAAAGGTCATAAATTTTTTTCTATTATAGATAGAAAGCTGAAACTTTCACTGAATTTTATCCCTTTCAAAGGACTACAATCCCTGAAAATTTCAGCTCATTCGCACTTATAGTTCCTGAGATAAAATCGTGTTAAGCAATTTGGGGTGATTTATCAATTTTTCAATTTTTCTGAGTGCCTTTTTTCATTGATTTCGGCTTCAAATCTGAGAATAATTTTGTGTATGGAGTTTGGGGTATGTTGATTGACCATTAGGATACAAAATCTCGACAAAAAAAAATTTGAAATTTCATCGTTTTAGTAAGAAGGTACCCCCCTTATGATTTTTTTGAAAAACTTTGAAAAGTCATAACTTTTTTCCTATTATAGATAGAAAGCTGAAACTTTCACTGAATTTTATCCCTTTCAAAGGACTACATTCCCTGAAAATTTCAGCTCATTCGCACTTATAATTCCTGAGATAAAATCGTGTTAAGCAATTTGGGGTGATTTATCAATTTTTCAATTTTTCTGAGTGCCTTTTTTCATTGATTTCGGCTTCAAATCTGAGAATAATTTTGTGTATGGAGTTTGGGGTATGTTGATTGACCATTAGGATACAAAATCTCGACAAAAAAAAATTTGAAATTTCATCGTTTTAGTAAGAAGGTACCCCCCTTATGATTTTTTTGAAAAACTTTGAAAAGTCATAACTTTTTTCCTATTATAGATAGAAAGCTGAAACTTTCACTGAATTTTATCCCTTTCAAAGGACTACAATCCCTGAAAATTTCAGCTCATTCGCACTTATAGTTCCTGAGATAAAATCGTGTTAAGCAATTTGGGGTGATTTATCAATTTTTCAATTTTTCTGAGTGCCTTTTTTCATTGATTTCGGCTTCAAATCTGAGAATAATTTTGTGTATGAAGTTTGGGGTATGTTGATTGACTATTAGGATACAAAATCTCGACAAATTTTTTTTTGAAATTTCATCGTTTTATTAAGAAGGTACCCCCCTTATGATTTTTTCGAAAAACTTTGAAAGGTCATAAATTTTTTTCTATTATAGATAGAAAGCTGAAACTTTCACTGAATTTTATCCCTTTCAAAGGACTACAATCCCTGAAAATTTCAGCTCATTCGCACTTATAGTTCCTGAGATAAAATCGTGTTAAGCAATTTGGGGTGATTTATCAATTTTTCAATTTTCCTGAGTGCCTTTTTTCATAGATTTCGGCTTCAAATCTGAGAATAATTTTGTGTATGAAGTTTGGGGTATGTTGATTGACCATTAGGAGACAAAATCTCGACAAAAAAATTTTTGAAATTTCATCGTTTTATTAAGAAGGTACCCCCCTTATGATTTTTTCGAAAAACTTTGAAAGGTCATAAATTTTTTTCTATTATAGATAGAAAGCTGAAACTTTCACTGAATTTTATCCCTTTCAAAGGACTACAATCCCTGAAAATTTCAGCTCATTCGCACTTATAGTTCCTGAGATAAAATCGTGTTAAGCAATTTGGGGTGATTTATCAATTTTTCAATTTTTCTGAGTGCCTTTTTTCATTGATTTCGGCTTCAAATCTGAGAATAATTTTGTGTATGGAGTTTGGGGTATGTTGATTGACCATTAGGATACAAAATCTCGACAAAAAAATTTTTGAAATTTCATCGTTTTAGTAAGAAGGTACCCCCCTTATGATTTTTTTGAAAAACTTTGAAAGGTCATAACTTTTTTTCTATTATAGATAGAAAGCTGAAACTTTCACTGAATTTTATCCCTTTCAAAGGACTACAATCCCTGAAAATTTCAGCTCATTCGCACTTATAGTTCCTGAGATAAAATCGTGTTAAGCAATTTGGGGTGATTTATCAATTTTTCAATTTTCCTGAGTGCCTTTTTTCATAGATTTCGGCTTCAAATCTGAGAATAATTTTGTGTATGAAGTTTGGGGTATGTTGATTGACCATTAGGAGACAAAATCTCGACAAAAAAATTTTTGAAATTTCATCGTTTTATTAAGAAGGTACCCCCCTTATGATTTTTTCGAAAAACTTTGAAAGGTCATAAATTTTTTTCTATTATAGATAGAAAGCTGAAACTTTCACTGAATTTTATCCCTTTCAAAGGACTACAATCCCTGAAAATTTCAGCTCATTCGCACTTATAGTTCCTGAGATAAAATCGTGTTAAGCAATTTGGGGTGATTTATCAATTTTTCAATTTTTCTGAGTGCCTTTTTTCATTGATTTCGGCTTCAAATCTGAGAATAATTTTGTGTATGGAGTTTGGGGTATGTTGATTGACCATTAGGATACAAAATCTCGACAAAAAAATTTTTGAAATTTCATCGTTTTATTAAGAAGGTACCCCCCTTATGATTTTTTCGAAAAACTTTGAAAGGTCATAAATTTTTTTCTATTATAGATAGAAAGCTGAAACTTTCACTGAATTTTATCCCTTTCAAAGGACTACAATCCCTGAAAATTTCAGCTCATTCGCACTTATAGTTCCTGAGATAAAATCGTGTTAAGCAATTTGGGGTGATTTATCAATTTTTCAATTTTTCTGAGTGCCTTTTTTCATTGATTTCGGCTTCAAATCTGAGAATAATTTTGTGTATGGAGTTTGGGGTATGTTGATTGACCATTAGGATACAAAATCTCGACAAAAAAATTTTTGAAATTTCATCGTTTTATTAAGAAGGTACCCCCCTTATGATTTTTTCGAAAAACTTTGAAAGGTCATAAATTTTTTTCTATTATAGATAGAAAGCTGAAACTTTCACTGAATTATATCCCTTTCAAAGGACTACAATCCCTGAAAATTTCAGCTCATTCGCACTTATAGTTCCTGAGATAAAATCGTGTTAAGCAATTTGGGGTGATTTATCAATTTTTCAATTTTTCTGAGTGCCTTTTTTCATAGATTTCGGCTTCAAATCTGAGAATAATTTTGTGTATGGAGTTTGGGGTGTGTTGATTGACCATTAGGATACAAAATCTCGACAAAAAAAAATTTGAAATTTCATCGTTTTAGTAAGAAGGTACCCCCCTTATGATTTTTTTGAAAAACTTTGAAAAGTCATAACTTTTTTCCTATTATAGATAGAAAGCTGAAACTTTCACTGAATTTTATCCCTTTCAAAGGACTACAATCCCTGAAAATTTCAGCTCATTCGCACTTATAGTTCCTGAGATAAAATCGTGTTAAGCAATTTGGGGTGATTTATCAATTTTTCAATTTTTCTGAGTGCCTTTTTTCATTGATTTCGGCTTCAAATCTGAG